CGCATTACGACTCGTTTGGATTGGCTCCGGTCAGTTTGTATAATTGTTAATTAATTATTGTTATTATTAATTAATTATTAATTACAGGGGCTGGCTAGCAGTGGTGATTCAGGTGGTAGTGGTGTGGCAGCCATATTAGAACTAGCCAGACTCTTCTCAAAGTAAATATAATCATTTCTTGTATTAACATTCTCCCCCCCCCTCTCTCTCTCTCTCTCAGTTTATATTCCAATCCTTACCATAAACCCAAGTACAATTTATTATTTGTATTGACTGGAGCTGATAATTTCAATTATTTTGGAACCAAATACTTCATTGAGGACATGCTTGAAGATGCAGGTCCTAATTAATATTCATCACCTCCAATTAATTGATCAATTAATAGATAATTATCTTTTAAGTGAAGCCGACTACACGCTATGCCTTGATGCCCTCGCTGGGGGGTCTGATATTTTTCTACATGTTTCCAGACCCCCCAAGGAGGGGACTAAAGGACAGGAACTAATGGCCAGAATGAACGAAGTAAAAAAGAGAATTATCTAACTTTTAACTTTTACCATCTCCCCCTCCCCCCTCTCTCTAAGTCCCTGTCATTAGTGGCAGGTCTTTCCAGTGTGACTTTGAATCATAAGAAGATTAGGATTGGTGATGATGCTTTAGCTTGGTCTCATGAGAGGTTCTCACTCCGTAAGGTCCCAGCTGGCACTCTATCACACTTCTCTCATCACTCGGACATCAGAAGAAAATCAATGTTCCATACCAGGTGGGTGGGGCTATCAATTAATTAATTATTATTATTAATTACACAGTACTGATGTGGATGGTCTCAGTGCTAGTGTCCAGTTGATTGCTGAGTCAGTGGTGAGACACATACTGCCTGAGATTAATGAGATGGTAATTAATTAATTAATAATAATGAATAATTAATGAGTTTCAATTAGGATAGCAACTATACCAGTGGAATTTTCACAGGTCAAATGGTAAGTCATCAAGATTAATTAATTAATTATTATTATTTATTAATATTTTAGTCAGTACATACTGATAGTCTTCAGTCATGGTTGGATTATTTATCTCAAACTGGGCGGTCCCAGCAATCTTTATTAAATAAGGATCATCCATTACTGCTCAGTTTACAGCAGGTATACTTGTATCATGTGCCTGTCATGTGATCTGTTCCTATAGACACTATCAAGTTATGTTCATGAGGTATCAACTTTCACTCATAAACCTGATAAAAGGTAACGATGATGTCATATTGTGTCATAATGAGTCATCACTCCTCCAGTGATCCAGAGTTTGTGATATACACTCAGTCAGTGAGTATCATGCACTCATACAGGTATGTGATGTCATATGATGTCATTTGTGATGTAATTTGATGTCATCATGTAGTGTGAAGCCAGCAGTACTTGACCTAGTGTTAGCGATCAGTATATTGTGTTATATGGGAGGAGTCTATCTGTTAGTAATGGTAAGGACTGGTTATATTATAATCAATTCTCTCCCTCTCTATTTCTAGTATTTTTCAAATATTAGTCAACTTATAAATGAAGTTAAGTATAGGGTGAAAGCTAAGAGGGATTAGTTCAGTACACTCACTGTACCAATGTATGAGTATTGAACAATGGATGAGTATGATCTCTGACTAGTTTGTGTGTCTTGAATCAAATCAACAATTCTATAATTAATATTATTATTATTATTATTATTATTATTATTATTATTATTATTATTATTATTATTATTATTATTGTTTTTGTACTAGTGTGAAACTGATTTTGTAGCTAATGAAATTTGTACAGAGTACATCCAGTTTGAGCTGATTCTGACTTCAATTTTTCAAGTTACGGCCATTTTAAGAAAATGCCAAAAATCTAAAAAATACCCAAGGCTATAGCCCATGGTTTTTTTCAAAAAATGGCTCCAAAATCACCCCAAATTTTTATTACATTTTCTGATACATATTGATCTCCTTATGCTGTGTAGAAAGTTTGAGCTGATTCTGACTTCAATTTTTTAAGTTACAGCCATTTTAAGAAAATGCCAAAAATCTGAAAAATACCCAAGGCTATAGTCTATGGTTTTTCCAAAAAATGATTTTATAAATCTTTAAAAATGCTCCAAAATCCCAGTACTTAGTAAAGGGATTTTGGTCAAATTTTTAGCAAAAAAGGATAAAATTCCTGTTCATAATGTTGCCATTAATTATGCGTGGGTGGTATCAGTTGAAGGTGTGGCTCATTAAAGAGATCGATCGATCACCCAAGGAGCAGTAATGGCGGACACTCCACCGTTTGACTTGTTCTCTTCTCATGACTTCACTCCTCCTCCTCTCCCTCCTATTGACGATGAGGAAGAGGAACAGAGAGAAGGAGGTGCCTTTGATCCTACTCGTAAAGAGAGGGACCTATTCTCCAGCAGAGAAGAAGAGAAAGACTCACTTCACTTTGACCCTGGTCCCTCTCTCCTCCCTAGCCCTCCTCCTCCTCTACCAGCCCCAGCCCCTGACCCACCGACCCATGTCATTGGTATAGACCTTGGTACCACATTCTCCTGTGTCTCAGTATGGGAGAATGGTCACCCGGTAGTCATTGCTAATAAAAATGGAAAGAGAACCACTCCCTCTTGGGTCTGCTTTACAAAGGACATGGTGTTTGTTGGTGAGGCTGCATTCAGCAAAGGCTCTCGACACCCAACCTCAGCCATTTATGATGCTAAGAGAATGATAGGAAGGAAGCTGAGTGATGAAGCCATACAACAGTCACTCAAGCTGTGGTCCTTCACAGTGACGGAGTATAGAGGAGGGAACTGTGCCATTCAATTGAAACCTGACGTAGCACCTTCAGGCCACACACAAGTACTTTGTCCGGAGGAAATCTCGGCCTATGTACTCGCCAACATGAAACAGACTGCAGAGGATTATCTTGGTTGTCCGGTGACAAGAGCTGTCATTACAGTCCCCGCCTACTTTAACGACGCCCAGCGCCAGGCTACCATTGATGCTGCCAGTATAGCTGGTCTTAAAGTTGAGAGGATCATTAACGAACCAACCTCAGCTGCTCTTGCTTACGGTATTGAGAAGAAATCCACCGAAACCAAAGCCCAGACCTTGCTAGTGTATGACCTGGGGGGTGGTACTCTTGACGTTACAGTTCTGATAGTGGACGGGCAAGTTT